GCAGGCTGGGGTACTGGGCAGCAGCCTCAAGGCATTTGGGGGGAAATCTCTGCTGTGAACAGCTGCCCCTCTAGGAAGTAAGAAGCCTCCAGGGGTCCCAGCCTGAGTCCCAGAAGAGCCCCCTCCAGCTGCCAGCTCTTCCAAGGTCTCCAGCAGACACCCGCTCTCCACACCCACTGTCTCCTCCCTCACCATCTAGTGCAGCACACACACAGACAACAAAGAAGACGCAGGGTACGGCCACCAGCACAAGCTGGAAAGCCAGCAGCAGAAGTGGGAGAAGCGGTCATGGGTGCAGCTGGGCTGCAGGGTATTGCAGATGAATTTGCACTGCTTAACCCGCAGACAGCACTTCCCAGCAGGGTGACAAGCAGGAAGTGGAAGACCAGGACAGTGAGCCATACCTTGCCAACCACGGTGGGATGGTTCTGCACTCGGCTCAGGAGCCAGCTCAGGAGCCAGCCCAGGAATGACCAGTCATTCATCTGTGGACACAGAAATCCCAAGGAATGGAAGTGAGGGGACGGGGAGGGAAGGGGATGAAAACATGATACCCCCGCAGCCAGATATTTGCAAAGCTATTTCTGGCCCACAGCAAGAGCTCCAGTTCCATCTGTGCCTGACGCCCAGGCATGCCACTCGCTGCCTGACAAGGACGTGAAGAACAAGCTGGCAGAGAAAAGGACACTGCAGAAGAAAAGATGGAAGCAGCGACTCCCAGAAGGAGCTCGGCACAGCCCAAAATTCACCAAGACAGGCTGCACGCTTGTATTACAGTCAGGCTTCCGCTGAACTCTTCCTAACTAAACAGGCTTTCGGGGCTCCCAACTGTCCTGGCATTTTCTCCAGATCTACATCATACCAGGGATATTTCTCCCAAGGTGCCACCGTGGAAATTCATGACCTAAATTGTGTTTCCTCCCGCGTCCAGGGTAACATGCTTTTTGGCTACTATGTCAGGGTTTGAAAGAGACAGTTCTTACATCCTCCTGTCTCTGCCCGAGTCCTTAAGGCCTCATACTGCAACAATCTCATTTTACTTTACATTTCTGCAGCTTCTGATCCTGAGAATTACTGAAAAAATTCCCAAGGGTATAGCTTGTGGGGCATTTATACCCATTATCTCCATCAACACTCTCCCTTCTGCCTCTCACATAAACACATAATTTATTTATTGTATTTTTTTAGAGACAGGGTCTCACTCTGTCACCCAGGCTGGAGTGCAGTAACATGAACATAGTTCACTGTAGCCTCAAACTCCTGGGCTCAAGTGATCCTTCCGCCTCAGCCTCCTGAGTAGCTAGGACTACAGGTATGTCCCACCATGCCCAGCTAATTAAAAAAAAAAAAAATTGTTGGGCACCGTGGCTCATGGCTGTAATCCCAGCACTTCGGGAGGCTGAGGCATGCAGATTATTTGAGGCCAGGAATTCGAGACCAGCCTGGCAAAACATGGTGAAACCCCAACTCTCGACTCTACTAAAAACACAAAAATCAGCCAGGCGTGGTGGCGCATGCCTGTAATCCCAGTTACTCAGGAGGCTGAGGCAGGAGAATTGCTTGAACCCAGGAGGCGATGCTGCAGTGAGCCCAGATTATGCCACTGCACTCCAGCCTGGGCGACAGAGTGAGACGTGAGACTCCATCTCAAAAAATATCTGTATATATGTTTTTATTTTTGTTTTTATTTTGTAGAGGCAGTGGGCAGTGGTGGGGGGAGTCTTCTCTTACCCAGGCTGGTCTCCAACTCCTGGTCTCAAGCAATTCTCCCACCTCAGCCTCCCACAGTGCTGGGATTATTGTCGTGAGACACTGCACCCAGCTGACACAGTTTAAACATAACAGCAGTAAGTAGCATGCTTACTATGCAAACTCAAAGACCAGACCCCAACCTTCCTTATAACTGACTGCTTTCCTAACCCCCTCCTAAACAGAATCCTGGAGATCCTACTGAGACCCCTCCCTCTTCCTCCTTAACTTTCATGAAGCCAAGTTCTCTTGACTCTTAACTCCCTGGCTGCTCTATTTGAGTCAATGTCTGTGCTTCTCTACACTCTGTAGACATAAACATTCCTCAAGATACTTCAAGCCTCTTACTGGTCCTAGAGGATGCAGTCAGCTAGGATGGCCATAGGCATCTCCAGCTCACATTAAACATACTCTCCTGGGCTGGGTGTGGTGGCTCACACCTGTAATCCCAGCACTTTGGGAGGCTGAGGAAGGCGGATCCTCTGAGGTCAGGAGTTTGAGACAAGCCTGGCCAACATGGTGAAACCCCAGTTCTACCAAAAATACAAAAATTAGCTGGGCGTGGTGGTGGGTGCCTGTAATCCCAGCTACTCGGGAGGCTGGGGCAGGAGAATTGCTTGAACTTGGGAAGCAGAGGTTTCAGTGAGCTAAGAACGTGCCACTTCACTCCAGCTTGGATGACAGAGCAAACAAACAAACAAAAAAAACCTTACTGTCCAGGAAGGAGGTGGTTGGTGGAGATAAACTTGCACTCAGATGCCCCGAGCTGTGTGACCTTGAGCAAGTTGCATAACCTCTCTATGCTTCTGTTTCTTCCTCTGTGTAATGGAGATTCTAAGGAGATTTACCTCGTAGAGTTGTATGGGTTACCTGAGTTAATAAATATACAGGACTGAGAAAAGTGCCTGGCACATGGTAAGGACTTCATTAGTATTAAGTATTATTATCTCTCCTCCAAACCTACTCCTCTTCCTGTCTTGTGAATGGCATCTTCAGCCGGGCTGCCCAAATCCTGATCGTTACCTGTAATTTCGCCCTCTTGCTTCTCCTCATCGAACTGGTAACCAAGTCCCCACAGTACTACTTCCTTAATAGCGCTCACACCCTCCGCCTTCTCATGAGTCCCTGGCACAGACTTAGTCCAGACCTTCCTCTTTCTCTCGCCAGCATTATCACGCCGACCTCCTTATAACTTGCTCTGCCTCCAGTTTTGTCCCTTTGAGCTACTTTCTCAATGGCTGCATTCCTAAAATGCATATCTGGTTATCTGGCCATTTCATCTTCCTCCTTAAAACGCTCAGCTGGCCAGGCACGGTGGCTCAAGCCTGTAATCCCAGCACTTTGGGAGGCCGAGGCGGGTGGATCACGAGGTCAAGAGATCGAGACCATCCTGGTCAACATGGTGAAACCCCGTCTCTACTAAAAATACAAAACATTAGCTGGGCATGGTGGCGCGTGCCTGTAATCCCAGCTACTCAGGAGGCTGAGGCAGGAGAATTGCCTGAACCCAGGAGGCGGAGGCTGCGGTGAGCCGAGATCGCGCCATTGCACTCCAGCCTGGGTAACGAGAGCAAAACTCCGTCTCAAAAAAAAAAAAAAAAAAACGCCACACAACAAAACGCTCAGCTGCAGGCAGATCACCCAAGGTCAGGAGTTCAAGACTAGCCTGGCTAACATGGTGAAACCCCATCTCTACTAAAAATACAAAAATTACCCAGGTGTGGTAGCAGGTGCCTGTAATCTCAGCTACTTGGGAGGCTGAGGCATGAGGATCACTTGAACCTGGGAAGTGGAGGTTGTCGTGAGCCAAGACCACGCCGTTGCACTACAGCCTAGGCAACAAGAGTGAAACTCCATCTCAAGAAAAAAAAAATAACTCTCAGCCTCATGCAGAGGCTCACACCTGTAATTCCAACTCTTTGGAAGGCCAAGATGGATAGGTCACTTGATCTCAGGAGTTGATCCAGTCTGGGCAACATAGTGAAACCCCATCTCTACAAAAAATACAAAAAATAGCCAGGTGTGGTGGTGCATGCCTGTAATCCCAGCTACTTGGGAGGCTGAGGTGGGAGGATCGCTTGGGCTTGGGAGGTGGAGGTTGCAGTGAGCCAAGATCGTGCCACTGCACTTTAGCCTGGGTGACAGAGTGAGACCCTATCTCAGAAAAATAAATAAATAACTCTCCAATGGCTTCCATTGTCCACAAGATAAAGCCTCACTCCCCAAGATGGCATGAAAGACCTTCTCGGGGCCGGGCGCGGTGGCTCAAGCCTGTAATCCCAGCACTT